ATGGCCGAAAGCACTCGAGACACTGGAGTTCCGCTGAGAAAGTGAGCGCTGCAGAGAAGTCTGTATATTCTTTTTTTAAAAGGGGGCTTGTGTCCTCAGATGCGAACTTGGACAAGGGAGGTCCCATTGTCTGTAGACTGTTTGGGTGTTGTCAGTGTTCTCTCGTCTCTCACCCATTTTTTTCAATGACTTTTCTTCAAGTCATGGGATGTGACCTCTGCATCAGGAACGATGTGGCCTCCCCAGGGTCGAGGAGGAGTTTTGGGCGAGTCTTCGCTCGTGAAAACCATCAAAGTCTTGACTTGAAATATTGGGCCCTAGTACGTAAAAGAACATATTTAGGGTGGGGGGGCTGGGGCAGGTGTTTTTCCTTGTGCCCCTGGCCGCTCTGTGGGTATGCCTTCGCAGTCCAACGAGTCCCATCCAACGAACCTCGACGGAGCAGTCGTGAAGCGCCAAGGTTTACCTTCGACGAATCTTTTTGGAGTGTCTCGTCTTGGAATTTGGCTTGGGCTTTCTTGCTGACCCAAGACAACACACAGCAGCACAGTGAGGGAAGCAGGTCAGCTGTGACTAGCTAATCCCTTTAAACGTTGCAGGGCCCGCTTGTGATCTCTGCTTGTCAGTCTCTAAGTGGTCTTCGAATCCTCTGCGAATCCTGCGAATCTCCTGCAGATCTCTTGAAGCCAACGGGCTTCTGCTTGGCTAGGCCACGATGGCTTCGAAGATGATGGGACTGGCTACCTGCGGCCGCTCCCGAACAGATGCTTGGACAGAACAGGGGTCTGTGGGGTCGGTCGGTCGGCGGAATGCGCCCGAACAAGGCCGATGGAGGTCGGTTAGCACTCCTCCAAGGGGAGTCTTTTTGGATATCTGATATCAAGTGTTGCATGGGATGATCATCTCTACTGGTGCCATCGCTTGCTGGCTCCTGGTGCCAAGTTTTGCGCATGGCGTGCTTTCTGGTGCGCTTTCTCGTTTCTCTTGCTAACATTTCTGAGCAAATAAACTCTGATCATGCAAGAATGAACTGCACATGCCACTGCATCAGACAATTTCTTGTTGAACACAACACAGATTCTCCCTGAGGTTGGTGGGGAATGGTTTGCTGCCATCATGTTGCCACGCAAAACTCAGGCAAATATGCTGATCAAAGGTATGTGTGCCACCCTTAGTTTCGACTGACGACACGTAAACCAGCTCGAAACTGGGGTTCACCAGCTCGTTCATGTACGGAACGCGATCAGGCGGACGTGAACGCACAAGGGGAAGGTTGGTTTGGACAAGTCACTGTTTGGACCTTCCTTTCAACGCGCACAACGCACAAACAAAGTGCATCATGCACTGGCACCAGAGATGGTTGAGACTTGGTCCAAGAACCAATCACATTGGATAGTTATATACTCAGAACTTCAGAGTCAAAGCATGACCTCGCCCAGTCAAAACGTCTTTCGCGGAGCCCTCCAACATCCTGGTGAGGTTTGACACCTTTGGTCAGCGAGTGCTGGATAATGCTTGGAATGGCTTCCACTGCTGTCTTTTCGCATATGGCCAAACAGGAGAGTTGGAAACGCGGTCAGTGGTCCTACGGAAAATTTGGCTGATAGAAGCAGTCTTCTTAGTGCTCTGTCGCGTGATTTCAGTATTTCGATGGTACCCACACAAAGCTAGTCGAAATCTTAGGAGGAGACACCAAGCTCACCAGTGAACTCAAACTTGTCGACCAGGCATGGCTGGAAAAGGATTCGACCTTCAGTGTGAGTGGAGGAACACGGACTTGAATGTGTGCTGAGTGCGTGCATTTGCCAATGCAAACAGATCTCCCAGTTGCCACCCGTATGATAACTTGATATACTCGTGGGTTCGTTACCTAGACGCGCCTGGCGCTACTAGGGGCTCCTGCCCTTACTACTAGGAACAAGGACGCGACTAGGGGCTCCTGGCCTTACTACTAGGAACAAGAAGCTACTAGTTAAGTTTCCAAAAAGATCTAGGAACCAAATCATTAGTGTGCGAGCTATCCTGCGTCCAGTAGGTCGTAGCTACTGAAACCCTTACCCAATTAAGTAGGTGCCTACTTAATTAAGTAGGGAGGGGGGGAGCGGGCTTAAAAAATGAACAAAAGATAACCAAGAAGGACGCTAGGATGTGCAGCAAGGGTTGAAGTCGCTGTGCCATCGGAGTTTGCTCTTGCAGGAAGACGCTTCAAAGCGGTTACTTCTGTGAGAAGTATCTTCTAAAATTGTGATTTGGATGATGCGGGTGAGGTGGTGAGCTTTCTGCTTTGGATACGAAGGTGTGGCCGTGTGGCCTAGTCATTTTTTGTGACAGGTACTCGTGGCCTTGGTGCATGTGGGAGGTTTGTTTTTAGAGTCCAACCATTCGTGGAAAGAGCGTCTGATACCCCCGCTCTGACACCCCACTCTGTGGTTCTGATAGTAGTTATTCATTCGAGAAGAAGCGAAGCCTTCGTGATTTCGCGTGGCTGATTGTTCAACGAAGCGCCTTTGTCGTTGTCGTTTGCAGGAGCTGGCAAAAGCTACTCCATGGTAGGTGGGCGATTGATCGTGGAGTAACGGAGTAGCGAAGTGGTCGCGGAGTGGTCCCATGGTGGATCGTTGGTGCCCCTGAAAACCCTGTCTCGCAGCTTTCAAAAGTTGTAGTTGTTGGACGACACCGGTGAAACCTAACAAAGTGGGGGTTGGTGGTGTCACAAGGGAGAACTTGCAGGAACAAGTTTTGTTGCCAAATCATTGGAGAGTGGTTTCTATGTGTTTTTTGGTTTAAATGCATTTTTAGTGCAAAACATCGGGTGCTTGTCTATGTTCCCGGGAAAGCAGAAATCTTGGTTTGAACAGGTGTTTTTCTCTGAGGGGCTCTCGAAACTGACATCCAGGCACTATGCAAAATGATGCAACATGTATAAGGATGACTTTATCAAACAAATCAGACACGACACGAATGGGTGTTTCTTGAATGGCTGCTTCCACGAATCTGCAAGAACGAATCTGCAAGAATCTTTGGCGCCGGCGATGCATGGGTACAACGTGCAGGCTATGGGAACAACAAGGGCATTGTGCCAATCTCCTGCGAGGCCGGTCGGTGATTCGCTGGGGTCTCATCCGTTTGTGGAACGGATCCGTGTTGGATCGGTGAGTCCCCCACCCGGTCGTGGTACTTCTGGATAAACTCGAAAAGGCCAGGCCTCTCATGCCCTTTCAGTTACTTTCAGGCACTGTCTTTTTCAGGTCAAGAAACCAGCGTCGCCGGGAACAAGGATGAACACACACACACACACACTTGAGAAGGTTGCTTGAGAAGGTTGCTCCGCGGAGCTTGTCTGACAGGCAATTCGCGGTGAGCATTAGCCCTTTAAGTGAATACTTAGCACTTGACTCGATGCAACGGTAAGAATGCTGGGTCAGTTCAACAGAATGTTTTAACAAGCTTGAAAAGTATCGAATGAAATGATTAAAAATTGGCAGGTACGTCGAAAGAGCGTCCTCTTTCGATATCCTAGTCTGAACCTGGAGCTTCGTTGGCTCACGCCAGGAACAGACCCGTGAGCCCCCTGCTGTTTTTTCTGTACAATCTTGAAGGATCGATTCAAGGAGAATAGATAGCTAAAATAGGTCCCTTTGAGACAGGGGTTGACACACACACACACACTGATTGGATTAAGGTTCTATTTGGTTGAGAGACTTCATACGATGGAGTGCATCCAACCTCGTGAGTTTCCTGTTTGCTTGGTCAATTCTGACGTTCGATACTCGAGGCTTAACCGGTTGTGATGAGTTTTTGATCCTACACGGTGCACGACAGTTAATGGACATCCTGCACCGTAAAGCACCCTCAAAAAAAGAGGGAAGTAAACCTGATTGTTTCTCCCGGTGTCTCCGAGATTTAGAGATTTAGAGATCAACTGGGTATAGCCAGGATCGTCATCTATGGGTTTCTCACGGGAAGGTGACTACCCTGGCTGCGCGACTCGGCGACCGCGAAACTCGCACCGAGGTCGGAGAACCCGAGTTCGGCAGGGTCGGCAGTTGCGCCCATCTCTCATACCTTTATGAGTGGAAGCAAGGCTATATATATATATAGCTGCCTTTATAGGTTGATCTAGTGAAACTACAGGGAAACACTGATTCACCAGCTCCATAACAGGCCCTAGGCTACGCACAAGATAGAGTCTCTTCCATGAGTCTCTCTCATGGGTGCTCCAAAACGGACCCTGACTTCCTCCTCTTTTTTTCGCCAACGGACTGGCCGCAGAGCGCCAGGAGATTTTCCGGCGGATTGGCCAGGAGAAGGATCCGCAGAAGCGGTGAGACCAGACCGTCGGGCTCGGTCGGGTGGTGGTCCAGACCATCGCATCGCAGCGGATCGGCTTCGACCATCGGAGATGCGCACTGGTTGGGTTTTTGTTTCTCTCTCAAAGCGTATGGAAGTTGATGGCATGGCATGGCCCCCCAGAGAGTGATTGCCATGTTCCTCTACAAAGAGGTGGTGCCAGCCACTTCCACGTGATCTGTTCCTTGGAGTGGATGTTCCTCCAAGAGCCGCTGTTGCCCTAAGAATCCGTGGCTGGCCAGTCTGTAGCGCTTTTATTGGGGAGTGAGATCAGCCAGTGGTGAAATAGATTCCATTGAGTTTGAAACCACCACAGGCTGTGGGTTCAAATTCCCATGTTCGATTTTCTGCAATCAGAGGATGTCAGAGTTTTTTTTCTGTTTTTAGACGTGCTTTTTGGGCACTGCTCCCCTTGCAGATGATGTACAACGATATGCAAAGTAAAGAACGACGAAAGATCACCCTACACCCACGCTCTTTCGTATTGCGGCGGGGCAGGGTAGGGCCACACTTGCGGTGTGGGTGTTGCAGTGATGAACGACGCAAGTGGCCACAGTGGGGCAGACCAGGGTGGCCTGGGCTTGGATGAAGATTTCCAGCAGTTATTGCTTCTTCCTTTGCACCGACCCGATTCACACGGTTCACTTCTTGCATCCTCATTCCAAGCAAAAGAGTAACTTGCCGTCGTCCAAGCTCCGGAATTGGGCTTTTTGGCCACGTGGAGGACATAGATGGGCATAGTTAGTTCCTCTTCCTCGACCGAAATTCCACACTGCGTAGCTAGATTTCGCCTGCAGACAACGAGAAGAATTCGTGGCCACACCCGACGTTGGGACAGACTTCTCGTATTTTGTGGGTACGGTGGGTACGTTTCTTCTTTCTATTGCTACACACCGGGCCGAGTTGACCGGCCGCTTTGTGGTACGTAGTTTATTCGAAGCCGTCCTTGCAGGTATGAGGTCACCGTCTCGATGATTGAGATCTACAACGAGGTGATCTGGAGTTGGTTTTGTCCCGTCTCCAAACCAAAGACGTGATGCTTCCGAGGTCATGTTTGGTCTTGAATTAAGGGGAGAACCTCGGCAGGTTGTTGCTCCCAGGGAAATTTTAGATATGTCTATTTTCATTTTTAAATATACATTGGACCCGCTGTGCGGGTATCGACTTTATATATATATATATATTATTTTTAAATATACATTGGACCCGCTGTGCGGGTATCGACTTTATATATATATATATTATTTTGTTTTTACACACATATATCTATAATCTCCACATTAGTAGTCGTAGGGCGGTCACAAAATGCACTTGCGCTAGGCGAGGCACTTGACACTGTAACATTTTTTTCCCGTTCCTTCACTAAGTTTTTTCGCACTCTTTTGTGTTTGGTCACTGGGTTGGACGGACATTTGCGAACGGCGGGATGGCGGGACGAGGTGGCAGAGAGTCTAAGCCATTTTAGGAGGATATATAAATATTAAACAGTGGTCAGTTATTGCCCATGGAATGGAATAATTACCTGTGTTTGTCTGTTGATACACACACCCTGCCAAACCGGACTCTTTCCAATCCGTATATGTGACAGTTTGGATTAGGTGTGGTTTGGACATGTTGTAGTTCTATGTTTCTCAATTCAACAAAAGGAACCGCTTTCGACCATGTGGGCACTGGGCACTTTCCCGCTCCAAAACAACTCCCGAACTTGCAAGGGCCCTGCAGTGGTTGTATGGATTTCTGGAGCAAACAAAAGGTGAGAGGAGGGCGACTTGTTCTTGTGTTGGACCAAAGATACTCAAAAACATATCCGTTTCCGTTCATGCCTGGTATCCTAGGCCCTAGGCATTCGGCATGTAAACCACCTTTTGCATTTCGAACAGTCGACTTGGGCCAAACACTCTGATTTCACGCGCTGAACTTCGCGCTTGGTCGACGAGGCGATCCAGGATCTCCTCATTGACGTGGAACTACGCCCCAAAAAGGGCCTCGAAGTGCGACGCCCGGCGGCACCGTGGTTGGCACCCCGTGGTGCCGAGAGGTGCGACGAGCGGTGCCACGTACGGGACCGTTGCTGGCACGAGCGGACCGGCTGCTTTTTGTGACCCGCTTTTTCAACTGGACCTTTTTTGCCCCAAGAATCCGTGGTATGAAGGTCGCTGAGTATGTGGTAGCCAGTGGTTCTAACAATGGCCTCCAACCTAGTAGCGATGGCCTCCAACCTAGTAGCTATGTGGTAGCCAGTGACTCTGATCTCTTTCTTACCCAAACCATCCGCTTCTTGCCGGTCGCCGCCCAGGAGAGTCCAAGGCGAAGATCTGGGGATTCACGGGTTCAGACGGCCGGGTTCGGACGGGTGGCTGACCTGGTGGCGAAACTGGACTCGCTCAAGGGCGAAACTGGATGACCACCTCCAACTGGTGGAAAGTCACTTTGGGAAGGGTGACCAAATGCAACCCCGTTTGCTCTGGTCCACTGTGCCTGGTCAAAAGGAACAACCACAAAACGCAGACACAATCAAAGGAAGAAGTACAACAAGAAGAAAGTTAACATGGGATATAGTTGAACCATATATATATATATATTATATATGATGTGTATTAGACACATACATCCCTTTCATAATGGGATAGACATACTTGATTGATGAGTTCTTGGACTCAAAAAAAAACACCGGACTCCAACCTGACTCCTCCGCGGTCCGCGGTTCCAGGCGCTGGGGATCTACATCGATGGCGTGATCAAGCGCCCGGTGGAGAGCTACGAGGAGAGGATGCCGAGCCTCCGAAGTTCGGCCCGGAGAGTCTTCTGAGACTTAAAGAAGACTGGGGGAAGACTGGGTATGTAAGGAGGGCCGAACTTCTGGGACTCTCCTTATATACTGTACCCAGTCTTCCCCTCCGGTGATCTTTTCTTTCTTTTCTCCGGAGGGGGAAGACTGGGTATGTAAGGAGGGCCGAACTTCTGGGACTCTCCTTATATACTGTACCCAGTCTTCCCCTCCGGTGATCTTTTC